TAAAATCTGAGCAAGAACGCTCACCAACTCTGCACAAAGAACACATGGACAAAGTGAAAGGGACTTTAAAAGTTAAAGCCGTTGCAGTCGTGGTGGCGAGGCAGGCGGATCTCTGTGAGTTCAAGGCCAGCCCTGATCTACACAGTAAGTTCCAGGACAGCTGGGGCTACAGGGAGACCCTGTATCAAAAAGACCAAAAAAAGTTTCTGAGCAAGAACGCTCACCAACTCTGCACAAAGAACACATGGACAAAGTGAAAGGGACTTTAAAAGTTAAAGCCGTTGCAGTCGTGGTGGCGAGGCAGGCGGATCTCTGTGAGTTCAAGGCCAGCCCTGATCTACACAGTAAGTTCCAGGACAGCTGGGGCTACAGGGAGACCCTGTATCAAAAAGACCAAAAAAAGTTAAAGCTGCTTTAACTTTTGCAGGAGGATATATTTTCATCGCAACTGAGCTGGAAGTTTGGTAGGTTTTTATTCCTAACTCAAGAGTGCTGTGTCTTTTCCCCGTTGATTGGGCTGTGATCTCACAGTCTTTCCAGGTTGGTTTTTAAAGAATTAGTGCAAAAAAATGAGGAGGGAAAAATTGGCTGAAAGACAGAGCTCAGCTGCCCTAGGCTATCAGGTTCTGGGAATTCAGCTTTTCTATAAACAAAAGTTTTACTATGTTGTGTGTGGGGGTGGGGATTAAAAGATTTGAATTCCTTGTCCTAAGCAAAAGTTTTACAGTGTTTGACAGAAAAAGACTGATACTTAATGTTAATTATATCATGTATCCCAGCTTGGCCTACAAGTAGTTGGGACTAGGGAGATGACTCAGTGCTTAAAGTGCTTGCTATGCAAGTATGAGAACTGGAGTTTGGATCCTCAGAACAAATGTAAATACCTAGTGGGCATACCTGCCTGCCAGGAATTCCAACCTAAGAAGGCAGAGACAGGAGATCCCCAGAGCAAACTGGCTAGGAAGACTAGGCATATTAGGTAAGCTCTGTGTTTGATTGCGAGAGCCTGCCTCAATGAATAAGGTGAAAGAGCAATTGAGGATGGTTTCTGAAACCAACCTTGGGCCACCATGTGCGTGCACACCACGCAGTTACACCCATGAAAAATGAAGGGAGCGGAAGCTATAGTAATTGAAACTATGGTACATACACATAGATTACTGGAATATGATAGAGTCTAAAAAAAGAGGCCTGCATGTTACCATCAATGATTGTTAAATAGAAACACCAAAGCAACTTGAGGGAAAAGATTGGGATTTTTTGTTGTTGTTCTTGTTTGTTTGTTTGTTTGTTTGTTTGTTTGTTTAAGTACCGATGTGTGGACACCTTGACATAAAACTTCTTAGCAGTTAAGTCTTTCATGGTGGTACATGCCTTTAATCCCAGCACTTGGGAGGCAGAGGCAGGTGGATCTCTGTGAGATAGAGTCCAGCCTGGTCTACATAGAGAGTTCCAGGCCAGCTGAGGCTACAGGGAGACCCTGTCTCAAAAAAAAACAAAACAAAAAAAAAACCCAAAACAAACAGGCTAACAACCACCTGTAACTCCAGTTCCAGGGTGATTTGACTCCCTCTTCTGATCTCTGTGGGCATTGTAGGATATGGGTGCACTTTTTTACATGCATGTACTCAATGCGCTCAGACACATAAAATAAAAATAATAAATAAAATATTTTTTAAAACAACAAAGACTTTCAGCACATACAGAAATTAACCCAAAATGAATTGTAGAGATAGCATACAGCCTAAAGCTGTAGAACTTATTTTAGGAAACAAGAGAAAATCTTTTCGGCTTTTGATTAGGCAAAGATTTCTTAGGACATGATAAGCAAAAACTATAATGGAAAAAAGTCATTTGAACTTAGTTAATCCTTCATCAGTTAAATTTTTCTGCACTGTTAAAAGACAAGCCAGATATGAAGGTACATGCCTGTGATTACATAGTGAGACCTTGTCTCAAACAAACAAAAGATTTATTTGAAAGCCTGTATACTGTGCCATCAAGATAACTCAGAATGTAAAGGTGTTTGCTACCACGCTTGACTACCTGAGTTTGATGCCTGGGACCTATGTGGTAGAAGGAGGCCAATTCCTGACCTCACACATCATGACACATACATACACATACAAATAAAATTCAAAAAATAAAAAGCTTGTGCATAGGTATTTATAGTAACTCCATTCATAATTGTAAAAAATGAGAAACAATTTAACTCCTGGGCCAGTAAGTCTTGAAAGAATTAAAATTACTGAAATCATAAAATGTATTATAGTTGTGTTTTTTCTTTTCTGTTTATTTTTTGGAGACAGGATCTCATGTAGGTCAGGCCTATCTCAAATTCACTGTGCAGCTGAGACTAGCCCTGAACTCCTGATCTTCTGTTGACCTCACTGGTCAGTGCTGGGATTTCATGCGTATGCCACCACTCATAGTTAAAATGATCCTGACTGAGTTTTGTTTTGTTTTGTTTTTGCCAGATTGCTAGAATAGTTAATGATCATAGCATTATAATAGATACATATTTTTTTTTATTTTGTGTGTATGAGTATGTTGCCTGCATGTATGTAAATGTACCTGTGTTGTGCAGTGCCTGCAGAAATCAGAAGGTGGCAATTTCCCCTGGAACTCGAGTTATGGACCATGTGGGTGCTGGGACTCAAATCCCTGGGTCTTCTGCAAGAACTGCCTCATCTCTCCAGCCCCCAGAATAGATATATATTTCCTGTGATTAGGAAGTCTTGCCCCAATTTGCTTTAGACCCTCACCTGCTTAATTGATTTCTACCAGCCAATATGCCTTTGTTGTCCTCAAATCAAGGCCAGCCTGGTCTACATAGTGAGTTTCATGCCAGCTGGGACTACGGAGAGACCCTGTCTCAAAAAGAATCCCCCCAAATTATTATTTTTATTTTTCGTGTGTGAGTATATTGCCTGCGTGTATGCAAGTGTCATGCAATGCCCTCAGAGGTAGAGGTCAGAAGAGGGCGTTGGATCCCCTGGAACTGGAGTTATGGACAGTTGTTAGCCACCATATGGGTGCTGGGAATTGAACTCAGGTCCTCTGCAAGAGTAGCCAGTGCTCTTAACCACTGAGCCATCTCTCCAGCCCCAACATGGCAATTTTTCAAAAATAATTCTTGCTTGCATGCCTTCCTCCATTCTTGTGCTGGAAGTTCCAGGCTTTCCACATGCTAGGCAGGTGCTGTACTTACTATACCTCTGAACTACTTCGCCAGCTGCCCCAGAATTTTCCGAGCTTTTCTGTTCCATGTGCTGTCTTGAAGCTAAATTTAGAAGGATGTTCATCTAGGTCAACCTGTTCTTCTGTATACAGTTTATGTGATGTCTTATCTTACAGTGCGCACTACACGTGGCTTCTCCTTTTTAAAAAAAAATTATGAATTTTATGTGTATGAGTGTATTGCATGAATGCCTGTAAGTGCACCCATGTTGTGCAGTGCCCACAAAAGATCAGAAGAAGGTGTCGGATCCCCTAGAATTAGAGTTATGGGTGGTTAGCTGCTATGTGGGTTCTTCATATTGAACCTGAGTCCTTTGCAAGAGCAGCCAGTGCTCCTACCCGCTGAGCCATTTCTCTAGGCCCTGATTTCTCTCTTTCTTTTTTTGTTTTTGCTAGTCTGGGTTTTTTTTTTTAACATCATAAGAGTTGGTTCCCATAGGGAGCTTTGCAACCTCAATGTACTAGCATTTATTGGGGGCTTCATCAAGCTAGGTAATGTCCATTTAGTCAAAATAAGTGGGAGAGGTCTACATTAGCTCTAAACATGAGGAAGGATTTAGTTGCCTCAAACACTCTTCATTTCCTTGTATTCCCTCCTAGTGTCATCCTTTCTAGCACTGAATAGGTCTGACCTCAGTAACTATGAGATTATAGAAGTCACAGCACATGCTTATTCTGTAGCCATTTAGAAAGGTTCATGGGGAGAACTTCAGGCCTTTTCACAATCATAGTGCTAATTGGAGCCATGTGAATATGAGCTACAACTGAAATATCCTGCGGGCCAATCATGGCTTCAGATTGTTGTATTCTTGCCCAGAGTGCAACCTCATGAGACATTCCAAGTCTTCAAATCACCTAACTTAAGCTATGTTTCCCAATTTTTTATCCACAGAAACTATGTGACAAATACTTTTTCAACCCCCAAGGTACTTCATTGGGGGAGGGTATTTGTTATATAGCAACAGGTGATAAATACACATCTTTCATTTTTACTTGTAAAAGTAGAAATATGACTAGGTTTTACTGTGTATTGCAGGATGACCTTCAGTTGGCTCTGGAGTTCAGGTTGGCCTCAAACTCAGTAGAAGTTAAAACTTTCAATCAGAAATACAACTACATAGAAACATTGGTTTTATATTATATAAAAGCCAATACAATTTCAAATGAAATAGACTTAAAGAGCCTACAAAAGGCAATTTTGATTATTTAAAAATGAAAATGATATAAAAAGGCCAACCATGTGGCATGAACTTATAATGTATTTTAGAATCCAAGGAAGAAGTCAGGAGGATCAGTTGAGGCGAAGAGTTTGGAGTCTTCCTTGACAACATAGCAGGACCCCATCTAATTAAACAAATAATTCAGTAAGATGAAAAATAAAAGTTTTAGCTGGACATGGTGGTGTATGCCTTTAGTCCCAGCACTTGGGAGGCAGAGGCAGGTGGATCTCTTAAGTTCCAGGCCAGCTGGGGCTACAGGGAGACCCTGTCTCAAAAAGAAACTAGTGTTAATACAGATAATGTGTCTGTGAGTCACCCCAAAATTGATACTTTTTCTTTTTGACCAGGCCTCTCATGGTATGGTCCCCTTTCCAGCATGGGTGGTGTGTGTATATGCTTGTGTGATAGTTGTTGAAACTTATGCTCTATCCCCTAAGCTATAGCCCCAGGGCTCTTTTATCAAATTTATAGAAAGGAGGACATTTCCCACTGATTACTAAGTACCATGGGTTGATGTTATTCTTTTACGTATTTTCACAGATGGTAGTGAAAACTTTTATGGATATGGATCAGGATTCAGAAGATGAAAAGCAGCAGTATCTCCCACTAGCCTTGCATCTTGCATCTGAATTCTTTCTCAGGAACCCTAATAAAGATGTGCGCCTCCTCGTAGCATGTTGTTTGGCTGACATATTTCGAATCTATGCCCCAGAAGCTCCATATACTTCCCACGATAAACTTAAGGTAAATACAATGTTTACAGAATCATTTTACTTTTGTTTTTGTGGTATTCTTTTGAGTATAGGTATCTTCTTGTCATTTTGAGATTATATCATCAGTTATGAAGCTAATTAATAAGTATTTTCTAAAGTGCCTACAGAAATGACTGATAAAACTTGAGACTTTGAAAGATGAAGATCAAAACTTGCCCTTGCTGGACTTGGTAGTGCATGCCTTGAATCACAGCATAGGCAGAAGCAGGCAGGTCTGTGAGTGTAAGGCTAGCATGGTCTACATAATAAGTTCTAGGCCAACCAGTGAGACGCTGTCTAATCTAAAACAAAACAACAATAATGAAAGTTGTCCTTGCCTTGTCTGCTTGTGTTTAATCTTCCTGCCTTGCATCAGAAAACCTAGATGGATAGATTCATAGGTTAAATAGTAGCTATTTTTGAATAATTTTATTCTTAGGAAATGGTAATTCTTGGACTGCTGTCTTTTAAGTACAGTTAATTCTACCACTTCCACTCCCCATGATTTCATACTGGTTTCTCTTTCCATGGTTTTAGTCATTTTTATGCTCAACCACACTCCAAAAATATTAAATGAAAAATTCCAGAAATAACAGTTCATGAAGTTTCTAATTGATACTATTTTGAGGAATATAATGAAATTTGCTGTCTTGCTTCATCCCTCTTGAGATGTGAACTATCCTTCTATCCTGTGCTCTGCCCCCTATATGCTAGTTGCTGTTAGTCACATAGTTGTCCTGGTTACCTGAGCAACTGTAGTAGTGTCTTAGTGCTTGAGTTTAAGTAATACATATTTAGTAGCGACCCCAAAGAGCAAACTTTTATAACATTGTTTTAATTGTTGTATTTTATTGTTGTTGTTAATCTCTTACTGTGCCTGATTTATAGAATAAATTTTTATCATGGGTATGTATGTAGGAAAATACAAAACATAAATATATGGTTAGAAGCATTAAGGGGGAATTACAGTAATACAGAAAATAATTTTGTATATATATTGGTGCTCTTTTGAATGAAAACTTCTAAAGAAAACTTATTAAGGAATGAATTTCTATGATCTTCCCTTAGATCAATAGCGTGTGTTTCATGCAGCTTTGTTGTCACACATCAAATTCAAAACCATGTGCTGAAAAGTACTGCTTACATGTTAGAAATAGTAATGAAGGACTCATTCAATTCCTTAAAAATGAACACAGTAAGATAAAGAATGTGTGTTCTCAGAAGGAGGAAATCTAAAGTGTTCTTTAGAAGTAAAGGTCTTTATTTTTACTTCCAAAGGATATTGTTGTATTTCTTCTTATCTTTTTCCAGATATTTAAAATAATGGAGTCACAGTGGCATGCACCTTTAATTCCAGCACTTGAGAGGCAGTCGCAGGCAGTTTTCTGAGCTGGAGGCCAGCCTGGTCCATATAATGAGTTCTGGGCAAGCAAGGGCTACGTAGTGAGACCCTGTCTCAATAAATAAATAAATAAATAAACAAAACACTAATAATAATAGAGTAGGCATTCAAATAAAGGAGAATTTTCTTTATTGTAGTTTGTAACTAATTTATATATAGAGATATAAAAGCTCTTAGTACATTGCAAAAAATGACAACTAATAGTGTCTAAGTTAATATGCTTTTTATTTTTTTAACAGGACATATTTCTGTTTATTACCAGACAATTAAAAGGTTTGGAGGATACAAAGAGCCCACAGTTTAATAGATACTTTTATTTATTAGAGGTAAAAAAAATAATATTTTCTTTCATAAATATTCCATGTGGTAGCAAATTCTTATAGTAATTATAATGTAAAGTGAAACTTTTTAAAACAAATACTATTTAGCAAAATGTCTTGCATTTTATAAGGAAAACATATCTGGTTCCTCATGTCTTAAAAAGGGAAGGCTTATTCTACTAGAAAAAATAATTTGAAATTCTAGGTTTTATTTATTTTTCATTCTTCCCTAATTTAAGAATGGATTTTCACAGCACCTTAAATTTTGTATATAACCCCTATTTAGTATTTTTCAAGTTGAGAAAATTGGTGTGACCAGTCATGTTTTTAAAGGTTAGAGTGAATAATTTCACACTTGTAATTTTATACATTGAGTCTTCATAGGCGTAATATATAGAGTCCTAGTTCTGAAAAATTGTACTAGTGAGTGTGCTTTTTGTAATTGTTCTACATATATGTGATTTACTAATTATTTTTATTTATTGATTTAAGAATTTAGCTTGGGTTAAATCATATAACATCTGCTTTGAGTTGGAAGATTGCAATGAAATTTTTATTCAGCTTTTTAGGACTCTCTTCTCAGTGATCAAGTAAGTTTTTAAACTTGTTTTTAAATTGTGTATATTGAAATCTCATATGCTCTAATATGTGCACAAAATTTTTCGGATTTATGGGGAGTTGACGTTCTTAGAAGGCTTAATACAAAGCAGAAATCCTGTTTAAGAGCTATTCTTAACATTTTTAAAAATTATTTATTTTGATTTGTTTGAGATAGGGTCTTGCTGTATAGTCTTGGGAGATCTAGAACTCACTATGTAGCTAAGCTGGCCTTGAACTCCTAGCAGTCTTCCTGCCTTACCCTCCTGAGTGCTAGGATTATTAAGCCTGAGTCAACACATTTGGCTTTATACTAGCTTTTTAAATTTATAATGTAAATTTATTGGTTGACTCTGTATTTTGCTCTGTATCCTGACATGTATTAGGGGCTATATAATCTTAGAGAATCATGAAACAGAGTCCTTGGGCTTTTTAAATTTTTAATCTTTTATTTATTCTTTGACAATTTTATACAAATATATACATTGATTATATTCACCCCCAGCTCCCCCTAAACAATCCTACAATATGTTGCCTTCCCACTTTTATGTCCTTTCCTTTTATTTTCTGTAATCTACGGAGTCCTATTAGTGTTGCCTGTTGGAATGTTGACTGATCTTGTTGGGTTGATCTTGTGCAGATAACTGTAATGAGTTCATGAATGCAATGGCCATATCATGTTCAGAAGACAGCAGTTTACAGCACTCCTCTCCATTTTTCTGCACTTACTTGCATCCTTTCTACCTTCTCTTCTATAATGTTCCTTCAGCCTTGGGATGACTGATAGAAGTGTCTCATTTAGGGCTGAGTACTCAGCCATCACTTATTCTCAGCACTTTGACAAGTTATGAGTCTCTGCATTAAGCACTGCAGCATGTCCGTTTAGCAAAACAACTATAGTAGATTTCCTCCCTATGGTTTATCCAAAGCCATGGGCTTCTCATCTGCCTTACAGTTCCAGGCATTAATTCCCTCCTGTGGAGCTGGAATTGATCAGAAAGCATTTGGTTACCCTATAATCTTCATGTGACTATTGTACCAAATCAGTTCTAGGTTGATTTCTCTGTGCCCTGAAACCAAAGTATGGTATGTCTTCAGCAATAGGGTCTTACCATCTAGTTAGGGTAGGCAACCAAGAGCAATGGCAATAGCTTGTGTTGTTGGAGGGGAAGTGCTCTAGGGCCCCCTTACTAATAACTTAGAAGAAGGTATATCCAATGCTTTATTTTGAAGAAATTTATACAATAAAAGCAATAGCATATAGTTGTAGAGCAAATGTTACAAAACCTTAAAACCAGGCATGGTGTTGCACTTTTACCTTTAATCCCAGCACAGAGGCATGTGGACCTCTGTTAGATTGAGGCCAGTCTGGTTTACATAGCAAGTTCCAGGCCATCTGGGACTACAGGCAGTCCCTTATCTCAAAAAGATAAAACAATAATTTAAATAATGAGCTCAAGAGTATTCTATGTAGCATTAGTGTGGAGAAGCAAGAGTAGATCAGTCCATTTTTGAAATAAGGCATTTGTTTGTTCATGTATTTTGTGGAAGTGTTGGGGACTGAATGTAGGGCCTCATACATACTAGATGCTAGGTAAGTATTCTACTACTGAGTTCATGGATATTGTACAAGTCAGATTTTTCTTCATATAATGAAGACTACGGGGAGAATCAATGTAATAGCTTGCCAGTGACATTACTGGTCAGGATAGTCCAAACTGATTTTGATTATTTGTGCCAAATATCTGTATGATAGGTGTCTTAGAATATTATATGTGAACATGTTTGCATTTTCTAGTGGCTGCATTAAGAATTGTAGGAATAGCCAGGCATCATGGTACATGGCTTTAATCCCAGCACTCGGGAGACAGAGGCAGGCAAATTTCTGTGAGATCGAGGCAAGCCTAGCCTACAAAGTGAGTTCCAGGCCAGCTGGGACTACAGGGAAACCTTGTCTCAAAGAAACAACAACAATAAAAACAAAACAACAAAAGCTTCCTGTGGCATTTTACTGCTACCAGTCCAGTAGAGTAAATGATATAAACTTACTTTTGTGTTTTGTGTATGACAACATACTAGAGCTTGATAGTATATGAAACTACTACTTCATTCAGCCTGTAATTCTGCTTGGCAGTTTTTTGTCTGGTCTGGATTCTGTCACGTGTCTGTAGTCATTTAGTAGGACCTGGCAATTAGCTAAAGTAGTGGAACAACAGAATCACATGCCAGTAGGTTGGCTGTGTCTTCATACATTGACTAGGTTTCATGTCAAGGCGACCTTTGATACAAGAGAGTTCTTTGTGTTGTTGGTGATTCGAGATATATAGGCAAACCCAGATTCAAGGATTAGTCAGATAGACTCCCTGTCTTCATGGATGGAAAAGCACTGTAATGTGGCATGCTTATAGGAACAACAGTTTATGGGATTGGGTAGATTGCTGTCAGTAAAGTGCCTGCTATACAAGGACTTGAGTTTGATTCCCAGAACCCATGTAAAAAAGTTAGATGTAATGGTACACACTTGTAATCCCAGAGCTGGGGAGATAGAGACAAGCAGATAGATTCCTGGGGCTCTCTAATAAGCCAGTCTATCCTGCTTGATGAGTCGCAGGCCAGTGAGAGGCTCTGTCTTAAAACAAAAAGCTAAAACAAAAATTATAACACAGTGGATGGCTTGTAAGGAACAGCACCCTTGGTTGTCCTCTTGCCTTTACACATGCATAAACACATGCATTTGCACACATGAACTTGTACATACTGGTACACATAGCAACTAATTAAATTAATTTTTGGAAAGATTTGTACCCACTATTTGCATTGTACCACCATTTTGTAGGCTTTTCTTTTGAAATTTATGACTACCATCTCCAACAACTTGTAAAATTGTTTTCCTGTCCCTTCTACAACCTTAAGTAGCCACATAAATCCCCTTCCAGCTACTTTGAAGTCTTCCTGGTTTATCGTTCATGTCAGGTAATTTGTGATATGATTTGTGATATGGTATGTTTTGTTTCCTTTTGTTTTTGTACTTTGGGGCTCATTTAGCATCTAGGCTCTATGGGGTTATGCCCTTTTCATTACTCTTTCAATCTCTTACAGCTTCTAAGGGTTAGTCTTTCTGCTTCATTCTATAGATTCTTTCTCTATAGACAAGGCATTTCTTCACATGCATGTGCTGATCATTATACACTTGACAATTCTTGAAGTTTGATTTCTGAGTAGTTCTTTCCCTTCTGATACTCAGCTCGACAAACTTTATTCTCCCTAGATTCTATAGAGCACTATTAGGGTCTACTAGGGCGAACTTTCCCCTGTTCTTGTTAACTTAACCCCCGTATTGAACTGGGAAAATTGTAAGGTACTGTTTTTTCCTTTTCAGCAATATGTGCATGGTATCCAATTGCAGATATAGGGTAAATCTTACTCTTTATTGTATTTGGCTGGAAATGAACGTTTTAAGCTTATTGATTTACGTTGGTAAAATCCTTGTTGGGTTTTTTGTTGTTGTTGTTGTTGTTGTTATTTTTTAATTAAAGACAGTCTGTTCTCAGTGTGTATCCTTGGCTGGCCTGGAACTTGCTATGTAGACCAGGATGGCCTTGGTCTCACAGAGCTCTACCTGCCTTTACCTCTCAAGTGCTAGAATTAAAGATGTGTACTGCCACACCTGGCCTGGAATAATTTTTTTTAAAGTCTTTTCATCTGTCTTCTCTTGAGGATATATGAATCATAGAGCCAATTACTCAAGATTCTTTGTTTTTGTTTTACATCGAGCTGAGTACCTCTATTTCTAATTCATTCCCACTGCCACCCATTTAGAAGTATGTAATTGATCTTTCATCGTAGACATCTTGTAAAATGTGTAAGATATTTTGGAGACTATAAAACAACTGTCTTTTTCAGAGTTTTAGAAAATTGTGATAGTGTGACAATTTTCCCCCCAACTTTTAAAATTTTATCTCTTTTCATCTTGTCACTAAATGCCAAATAGGTCCATTATTCTTTACTTCAGGTAAATTTTTTTAAAGCTTTAGGTGATTCTTTAGTCTTCTAAATTAAACTTTCCTGTGTGTTTATAGTTATATCGTTCTATAGACTTAGTGCACTTTGAAGAGATTTCTTTGTATCTGAATGTGTAATTTCATTGGATATTGGTGATCTTTGTTTTGGTACAATATTTAACAATAATATCTTTGGGCTGTTGTAGTTATTCATTGGGGGAAAAGTAAATACATCAACTAAATTTTATTTTATTTTTTGCCATTTTCAGCATATTCCCCTTAAATGAAAACGTTTTTGTATGAATTTTTTTACGTTGTACTACCGATTGAATCTAGGGTTTCATGCATGCCAGGCAAGTGCTATACCGCTGAGCTATATCCCCACCCTTGTCCCCTCCTAGAAAGAACCTTGCTAATTTGCTCAGGCTGGCCTTAAACTTGCAATCCTCCCTTCCCAGCCTCCTAGTAACTGGCCTGTGCTTCCAGTTCCTAAACCGGAAAGTTGAGTGGGCATGGAGGCATTTAGGAGAAGGATCCAGGGCAACATGAGTTTGAGGTCAACTTGGGCTACATAGCAAAATCCTGTCCCCAGTAAACAGACAAGAAGTTCGTCATTCTGTATGCCTTAATTTTTTCTTCTTTTTTTAGCAATAACCACAACAAGAAGGTACAAATGCATATGCTAGACTTGATGAGTTCTATCATCATGGAAGGTGATGGAGTTACTCAAGAATTGTTGGATTCCATTCTTATTAACCTCATACCTGCACATAAGGTCTGTATAGTGTCAGGATATTAAAGATAAATGTTTAAAGGCAGTGCTACCTAAAGAAATCAGTGCTTGGGTTTTGTCCATTTGCAATCTTATTTACTAGTTCTTACTATGATGCTAGCATACATTTTATTAGCCTTGGGGCTGGAGAGATGGCTCAGTGGTTAAGAGCACTGGCTGCTCTTGCAGAGAACCAAAGTTCAATTCCCAGCACTCACATGGCAGCTAACAAGTGTCTGTAACTCCATTTCCAGGGGGATCCGATGCCCTCTTACCTCCACAGGCATTGCCCGATACTGGTGCACTTACATGCAGGCAATACACTCATACACTAAATAAATAAATAAATAATTTTTAAAAATCTTACTTATAGCTATATTATTAAAAAGGTATACCAATTATCATATTTTTACAAGATTTTTGTTCACTTAAGCTCTATTTGTTTTCTTTTTTTTTTCTTCTTCTTCTTCTTCTTCTTCTTTTGTTTGGTCTTTTTGAGACAGGGTCTCCCTGTAGCCCCACCTCTCCTGGAACTCACTGTGTAGACCAGGCTGGCCTTGAACTCCCAAGTGCTGGGATTAAAGGCGTGTGCTACCATGCCTGGCTTGTTTTCTGAAATCAAGAAATGTTTCACATTTTCTACCCATAACCAACCTGGGAATTCTAAGGGTTTTATTTTGAAAGAACAAATATATTTCCTTTTTTATAGTGTAGATATAGAACATCAGAGCTCTACTCAAACTTACCCCAACTTGATACTTGGTCTCCTGTTATTCTCCCCTGATGGTTCAGTAATCTATTATTGGATGTAGATGGACAATGTGTTTAACTATACTCATTTACAAAACTATGTCCTCAAGTTTAAATTCTTGCTTTACTTCTAAATATTTGTATTTTATTAATTCAAAGGAGCCTATAGTTGATAAAAGAACTAAGATTGTAACAAAAGGAAGTATATTTCAGGTGGAATAGGACCACCTCTCAAAAGAAATAGCACAGGGCTAGAGAGGTGGCTCAGTGGTTAAGAGCACTGACTGTTCTTCTAGAGGACCTGGATTCAGTTCCTAGAATCCACATGGTGGCTAACAATCATCTGCTACTCCAATTCCAGGGGATCTGACTCCCTTTTCTGACACGGGTGCACTTATATACATGCAGGCAGTATAATCATACACATAAAGTACAAAAAAATATTTTTTTAAAAAAAGAAAACATAGCCTATTTCAGCATATTTGGAGTCTGTTTTAGCCAGAGAGTATTTTTATTAGTGGATAATATACCCCTTTAAGAAGTAGAAATATTGGGGCTGGAGAGATGGCTCAGTGAAGAGCACTGACTGCTCTTACAGAGAACCAGGGTTCAGTTCCCAGCTAACAACTCTGTATCTCCAGTTCCAGGGGATTTGACACCCTCTCTGACCTTAGTGGGCATTGCATGATATAGGAGCACTTACACACATGCAGGCAGTATAGTTATACACATAAAATAAAAATAATTTTAAAAAGAAATATATTAACTTCTTTTTAAAGTTAATTTATCCTTTTGCCAGTACAATAAAAGCCTAGAGTAGGGGTCAGGAAGCTATAGCTAATGGACCAAATCTGGACTGTTATTTATGTAATAGCAGTCCCCTGTTAGGCATTGCTTCACTGTCCGTGTTTTCTGCTACAGTCAGCCACAGTTGAAAACCATTAAATGAGAAATTCTAGAGTTAAATTGTACACTGTTATAACTATCGTGACAAAATCTCCCACAGTCCCAGTGTGAGCCATCCTGCTGTCAATGTATCATGTCTAGTGTGACTCATCCTCCTGTTCAGTGCATCCACACTGCATATGCTACCAGTTAGTTATGGCCAATTCAGTTACCAGATGGATTGGTATCACAATACTTGTGCTTAACCCTTATTGTGGTTATTAATGACCCCAAAGCACTTGGATAGTGATGTTGGTATTTGAATATGCTAAAGAGAAGCCATAAAATACTTCTTTTTTACTTAAAGGTAAGACTTTAGTAAAATTGACCTTATTAGGAAAGGAAAGGAATGTATGGAGGTTGTAAGATGAATAGGAAAAGAAGGCAGATGACTGCTCCACACTTGAAAGTCCAAAATGATACAAAAATCTGACTGATTACCATGGTGGAGAATTATAGTACTGACATTCTGTGATAACCCACAGTGAAAACACAAGTGGACAATGAATCTTATATAAAATGACTTTCAGGCTATCTGTGTAAAGTTTACATAAAACAAAAATGAATTTCATGTTTAGGCTAATCCCAATTCCCAAGATATTTCATTATGTATATGGAAATATTCTGAAATCTAAAGTGAGAAACACTCTTTTTTGGAGGGAGTGTCTTTTTGAGACAAGGTCTTCTTGTTAGCCCCAGCTAGTCTGGAACTCATTATGTAAACCAGGCTGGCCTTGAACTCACAGAGTTCCGCCTGCTTCTGCCTTCTGAGTGCTGGGATTAAAGGCCTGAGCCACCACACTTGGCAAGAAACACTTATACAGGATTCGGTATTATTTGAATTTTCAGCCTCTCTCTGCTGAGCATCTTGGAATGTAGCCCTTAAAGAAAGGAGGATTCCTGATCACAGCCACACTCACTTGTTGTTGCTTTGACTCTAGCAGCAAATATAAACAGTATGTTGTCCAAGCTGGGTGTGGTGGTAGATAGCTGGGACTTCAGTGAGACCCTGTCTCAAAAACAAAACAAAGAGTATGACGTCCACTGGTCCAGTTTGAAGTGTTTCCTAGTTTCTTTTTAAGAAAGACAAATCTTTCTCAAATAATTTGTTGCAGTGCATTGGGACTTAAGAGAGCATAATATTCATCATTTCAAAAATACAGTTAATGAAGAATTTTATTTTTTTATTTATATCTTTTTGAGGTATAAGGGAGTGAGTCTAATAAGGGCTAACACATGTGGGGTGAGCATTCTATCACTGAGCCACATTCCCAGGACTGTTCTTCATAATACTTATTGATTGAAAAATGAAATACTTAGCCTGGTGAATTGGGGGTGGCGAAGGAGTGTATACTTTGGATACATACGTGTAGTCATTTTCATATTGGTTAACATACAAACAAATTCCCAAAGTCTGAAGTCTGCTTTTAGTTTAGTATAACTTAATGTAGGGTTGAACTTTTGGCTGCCTATCTGAAGTATTTTAGTGTTTACTTGTTCGATTCACAACTTCTGTTATTTAAGACTAACTGGCCAGAGGAGATGGTAAAACAGTTTTTGTTTCACATTTGTATTTATTTGAAGGTTATACTGTTCAAATAATGCTGTTCACATAAATAAGTTCACTCATTTGTTGCTTTACATGTTTTTGTTTTGCAGAATTTAAATAAACAATCCTTTGACCTTGCAAAAGTCCTGTTGAAAAGAACAGTCCAGACTATTGAAGCATGCATTGCCAATGTATGTATTTCTGTACACATTTATTTCAGAATTGTGTGATTATTAAACTGTTAACTGTATTTATTAGACTCATTCACATACAGGTATATATCTCCTGCTAATAATTTATTTAGCTCAAATAAAAAACTTACCAGTATGCTGGGTGTGGTGGTGCATGCCTTTAATCCCAGCACTTGGGAGGCAGAGGCAGGTGGATCTCTGAGAGTTCAAGGCCAGCCTGTCTACATAGTGAGTTCCAGGACAGCCGGGGCTACAAGGAGACCCTGTCTCAAAAAGACCAAAAAAAAAAAAACAAAAAAAAAAAACATTATGTGGTTGATCAAAATTTTGAAGAAATGCAGCATAGCTTCATAAGCTTTTTGATAATTACTTTAAAGTGGTACAGGTGATGTCCCTGTCTGTGGTCTCTGTGTTTCTATCTGTGGACAGTTTCCTCTGTGTGTCTTCTAGGTCATTCTTAAACCATCTGTTTCTT